TCAAACTATAGCCTTATTGCTTCTATTCTATTCTGTAAAACAGTTCTAGATTTAAATTCACATTCTAAAATAAAATTGTAAATATCTAACCTGGGCTACTTGGGTAATATCTACTCAGTGATTAACAGTGCTCTTTCTCAGTTTATCGTCGTTTGCAGTTTTTCTGACAATTTATAAAAATAAATTAAAAATACTACTTCGAGTAAATTGATCATCTATATAATGCAAACATGTGGTTTGGCAGCCAGTTGAATTAGAGTATCAACAAGATATAAAACACGTTTAAACACATTTATCATTAGTGTCAGAAGCTTTATTTCTGTAATTACCAAAATGAGATGTGAAAAAAGTAATTATCCAGAAGATCCTAATATTGTTTTTAAAGATAATTCTCAAATATTTAAGTATCGCATTATTAAAAAAGGTGTATATCCACCAAAACATAAACTTAAATATACTCGACGTCCTGCAAAGTATCCTATACCACATAATTATATTGTTCAAACTATGTATTTGAAAAAAAATTATGTTGTTGAGTACTTGATATGCTACGTTGATGATAAACCATTATATCAAATACTTTTTGGAAAAGATTTAGAAAAATCTGTAGAGTCGGATCAATCACCTTCTTATGCTGCATATTTATATTGTAAGGTAAAGTAATAAATATATAAATTAAACTAAATATTATATTTTATAAGTTAATATATATATACAGTATATTATATGAATAAATATAGGAATTGACCAAAGATATTTCAAATAAAAATATTAATGCAAATAGCAAGCTCTCCGGTCTACTTCTTTTTGGCTTGCGGTATAAAAGTGTAGAGGCTATTTGCAAGACATTGCCATCAAATAAGTTTGTACAAATAAAACTATTTCATAATTATAGTGCATCAACACAACGAAAACGCATATTAGGTTTAAGAGAACAGTTACAAGAATTCATAGAAGAAGAAAAGGAGAATTTTTTTCATCCAAATGATAGCATTGTTCTTAAACAGGCCAAATTTGAAATTAA